AATATCTCTTTTTCTAATCTTCTTCTTATTTTTACTTCTTTCATTATTTTCTTTCATTTGAATAATTTCTTTCATAAGTTGAATACACTTATCACTATTTTCTTTCATTCCTTTATCTCTTTCTTCAATCTGTTTTTTCATTTCTTCAACTTGAATTTGATATTCTTTTTTTATCTCAAAAATATCATCAGTTTTATTTTCTTTCTTTACACTTTTCATTTTATTAATTTCATTTTTTAATCCCTCTATTTTTTCATCTGTATTATTTAAATCTGTTTTAAGTCCAATAATAATATTATCTTTAGTTTTAATGTCTTCTTTTAAGTTATAAATTAATTCATTTGTATTAGCTTGGTTTTGTTCATTTTCTTTTTCCATTTTTTCTATTTTTCTTTCCATTCCATTTACTTTCTTTGTTAATTTTCCATTAACTTCTTCTAATTCTCCAATCTTATTTCTATACTCTGTAATTTTTCCTTGATACGTTTCATTTAATTCTTTTACATAATTTAATTCATTTTGTTTCATATCAATTTGTAATTTCATTGCCTCTTTCTCAGTACATACTTTATTCATTTCTTTTTCTATTTCTTCTATTCTCTTTTGAATTTCTTCTGTTTTCTTTCTAGCAATTTGTTCTTTTTCTTTAATTATTCCACTTTCTTTAATTGCTTCTTGTTTCTTTTTCTCAGATATAGCAATGCTCCTTTCTAATTCGTTATTTCTTTGCTTTGATTTTTTTAATTCTTCTTCCATATATGCTGCTTTTTTTAATATACCACTATTCTTATCCTTAGTAGAACTTATATCTTCTATTGTCTTTTGACTTTTATTTAATTCATCTTCTAATTGTTTAATTTTTGTTTCTTTAATACTTGCTTCTTCATTCATTTCATCAATTTTTATTTTTAACGAGTTATTTTCTTCTATCAGTTTTTGGAAATCTTCTTCTGTTATTGTTGGTTCAAAATTCATTTCTAGCTCTTCTTCTGAATCTTCTTCTTCTTCTTTTGAATCTTCTTGTTGTTCATTTTTTGTTTCTTGAATTGGTTCTGTGATTTTGTTTATTTCTTCTTCTTTTTTAACCAATTCACTTTCTTGCCTTTCTTCTTTTTCTTCTGAGTCTTGGCCAAGACTGAAATCTATCTCTTCATCATTTTCAACTTTCTTTTCTTCTGAACTCATTGAAATTATTTTGTTTTTAAGTTCTTTTAATCTTTTTTTCTTATTTTTATAATAAAACAAAGTCATTAAAATTATGAATTAATAAACTCAAATAAAAACCAAATTAAATGTAATACTTTCCAATTGAAGAATAATCTCTTTGTGGTAACTGAATTCCTTGTTGTGGGGCTTGTTGTTGATACATTGGATATTGATTCCTTAAGGCGTCGTATCTTCCTTGAGGAACAGTTTGTTGATAAATCATTGGTTGTTGTTGTTGGAACTGTTGTGGATTTCCATAAAGTGACATATAATCAATCTTCTTTTGTTGTGAAAGGTCATAAGATTGATGATACTGGGGTTGTTGTGCTTGAGGATTCTGAAGAGCAATATTGTCAAAAACATTACATGACTTGACTTGAGGTTTACTTTGAAGATTACTGAGAATATCAGAGGGTTTTGATTGCTGAGAAGGTTTTGGTGAAACTGGATTTATTACTGGTTCAGCAGAACTTTGTTTTGCATCTAACATGTCAAATAAATTTGAGTATTGAGTTGGCTTTTGTTGTGAAGACGTTTTAGGAGTAGAAGTATTCATGTCAAATAATGGAGAAGCAGAAGAAGATACTTGAACTTGTTGTTTTCTTTGTTGAGAAGGTGATTGTGGATATTTTGAAGGTGGTAAAAAATTTAATTGTTTAGAAGGTGTTGTTTGAGAGTATTGAACTTGTTGTTGAACGGTTGAAGAAGAAGATAATAATTGGTTTTGTTTTTGAGAAGCATTACCTTCATAGAAATTAGAATAGTTTTGTTGATTAAAGTAACGTTTATGTTCGTATTTATCTCTGATAAATCGTTCTAATTGGTGCTGGTCCATGTCAGGTCTTTTAACAACAGAGCATTGGTTTTCCCATATTTTTGCAGCGTTATTATTTCCTATCCTTCGAACAAGATTAACTTGGTCTTCTGTCCAGGAATCAAGAGTAATAGATCTAACTTTAGAAATATGAGTTCCCATTGAACGATGAATTCCAGCACATCTAATACAAATAAAAATACCTAGATTAACACTACTCCATTTAGGGGTAGTAGCACCACAATCAGCACAAACACAATTTCCTTCTTGAATTACAAGTTGGGCTAATTCTTCATGCAAACGTTTTTGAAGAACAGCATCAGTTTTATAATCTAAACTCATTATTCTTCTGAATATTTATAGTTTTTCAATCTTTTTGTAAGAAGAAAATTTAGTTGATGTGTTTTTTTTATTTTATTATTTTTAATTTTTAATTTATTTTATTTAAGACCGCATTTTGACTGAATCCATTTTTATGAATAAAAATTATATTTATAATAATAACTCTTATTGACAAATGTTACTATAGTAAATTTTTTAAATTAAGAAGTTCGAGTAAATTCTTTTGAAGAATTTTGAAAGGAAAGAATAATTATAAATAACTAAAATGTAATTTATAACTTTATTCTCTTTATTGTCATTTAGAAAAATTTGTTTAATTGATATTTGATATTGTTATATAATAACTTTTCACTGTTTCAAAAACAACTATAAACCGTTATTAATTTTTTAAAATATTTCTGTTAGTGCCGATTGAAGTTTTGTATTAAGTAGTAAGAAGAATAACAAAAATTATCAAAAGAACCCAAATAGGTTACTTGTAATTTTTTTTTATTTAAATTAATACAAAATAAATTAAAAGAAGATTGTTATGACGTTTTTGTTCATTTCATTTCTACTTTATTAGCATCAATAAAGAAACATTTGTCTCATAAAAGAATTGAATACCTTTTTTATGTTATTTTGAAGTAATTATAATTTATAATTAAAAGTTTATTAGTTTCAAATAAGTTATTATTTAATTATTATCTTTCTTATTTATTTTTATTAATTTATTTTTAATTCGTTTTAATTTGTTATTGTTTTAGGATAATAAATGAATTAAAAAGAATCATTACTTCAAATATATTATTTTTGTTTTAAATGTTTAATTATTAAGTTATTTGAATAATAATAATTAATTGTTTCTAAGAACAATAAACAAAGAATTAAAAAATAACAGTAATTCTTTCTTTCACTTAGTAAAATTAATCCATTTTACACAAAAAATAAGGTACTTTCTTTTTTTATTTATTAAAATTCGTTTAATCGTTTTGAAGATCTAATAATACAATATTCTGATTTGTCTAATCAATTTGTTAAGATAATTTATTTATTTATTTATTCTATTAGTTGTTTATTTTTAGTCAACTAAGCATTGCTTTAATTTAATTTCAATAGAATAATTTTTTTATTTATTTTAAGTTAAGAAGTTTGTATTCGTTAAATTTTGATTAAGTCTCTATAATCTGGAACAAAAGGTAATGAAGTGTTTTAATTCTAATGTTGCGTTTTTAGGGGTTATTCATTGTTTATTTCCACTTGTTTTTCTTTCTTTTTGTTTATAACCTTTTCATAACTTTTTCTTTTACAAAGACTTTCTGTTATTGTGTTTAACAAGATTATTTAATTAATTATCTGCTGGTCATAAGGTTATTATTCGTTTTAAGAGAATAACACTCTTTTGTTAGGTCTTTTGAGTATGACTTTGAAAATAACTTTTAAAACCCAAGAATCAAACTTATGTCAAAAAAAAAAGAAAACAAAAGAAATATCAATTCAAAATTACATTTATAAAATAAACACGTAGTAACCAATAAATGAAGAAACAAAAATATTCTCAATATCAGTAAAAGTTTTTAGTAAAATGGAAGGATAAGTATAAATGAGAAACAATTATTTTGATTAATTATGATTCAATTTCATTATTTTTTTTTTTAAACTAAAAAAGAACATTGTCAATGTCGGCTGAGGTAAAACAAAAGAAACCTGAAAAATCTGAGTTAAGATATCCGACTATTCATTTATTTGATTACCAAAGAAATAAAAAAGAAGGATTTCCTGATAACGCTGTTAAAACAACAAAATATTGTTGGTGGAGTTTTATTCCAGTTTTTTTATTTAATCAGTTTAAATATTTCATCAATTTATTCTTCTTAATTATTGCAATTTTGTCATGTATTCCACAATTATCAGCAGCAAGTCCAGTTGCTTCGATAGTACCAGTATGTATTATGTTAGGATTCTCATGTATTAGAGAGTTGCTTGACGAATTTGTTTGTTAAAATTTTTCTTAATTTAAAGAAATAGTAAATATTTTTAACAAAATTATAGAGAAAGTTTAGGGCAGATAAAAAATTAAATAAAGTAGAATATGACAAATTACAAAATGATGGAAATATAACTAAAACAAAAGCAAGTCAAATATATCCAGGAGACATTTTGGTTCTTTCAAATAACTCAAGAATTCCAGCTGACGGTATTCCATTACAAACAACAAATGAAGATGGTCTTGTATTTATTGAAACGTCTGAGTTAGATGGTGAAAGTAATCTTAAACAAAGATTAGTTCCATCCCATTTTATTGATAAGTCATATGAAGATATTTGTCAATTAAAAGGAGATTTTCTTACAACACAACCAGACCCAAATTTTGATCATTTTGTAGGGACATTTGAAATAGGATCACAGAATTATAGTGTATCAGAAAAAAATTTTATTCCAAATGGATGTATAATTAGAAACACAGAAAGGTTATTGTTATTTATTGTTTATTGTGGGTTTGATACTAAATTAGCAAAAAATTCATCAAAACCTAAAATTAAATTCAGTCATACTAATAGTAGGTTTAATCGTTTTGTTGCAATTGCATTAATATTTGATTTTATTATTATATTAGCATCAACAATATGTTATTTTACATACTCATATATTTATCGTAAAGGAGAAAAATGGTATTTACCAGATACTGACAATGTTTGGAAACAGACTGTTCTTCACTTTTTTTCCTTTTTAAATATGTTTTCATTCTTAGTACCAGTTTCATGTCTTGTTTCATTAGAATTTTCTAAAATGTTTCAAATGCTTTTTATGTCATTTGATTCTGATTTAGAAATTAATACACTAAATTCTATAGGAGAAAATGAGACAAAAGGATGTATGCCTTGGACTGGAACATTAAATGATGAATTAGGATTAGTTGAATATGTTCTTTCAGATAAAACAGGAACATTAACAGAAAATCAAATGAAATTTATTAAATGTTCTATTGATGGATATATATTTGAAGAAACAGGAAATGGTATAATAGCATCTAATATGAATAATGAAAATATAAACAAATTTAAAGCAGAAAGAACATTATTTGAAAGTGATGTTGGAAATAATTTTGTTGGGGTTTCTATTCCTGAATCACTTATGTCAAGCGCTATACCAACAGCAGCACAATCTTTAGTTATTTCAAGAATTATGACATATGACAATCTTAGAGAAAAAGGAACAACAACTTTAGTAGAAGAAAGTGAGGATAAAGAAGTAAATATAACATCGTTAGATTCTTGGAATGAACCAATTAAAAGTGACATTAAAAGAAGGCCAATAAAAAAATTAGGTGAAAACAATGACTCTTATAGAAGAAATAGTTTCTTTCATGACTCATATTTTGGTCTTAATAGGTCAAGAAATTCTTTAAATTCACAACCACAAATTCCAATTATGTTAATTAATAAAGACAATGAAGATACTATAATCGAAACACCAAATCCTATTTCTACCGTAGAAAATGAAAATACTACTCAATTTCAGAATTCACAAATAAACCCTCATTTAATAACTGTCAAGAAAAAAAGATCAAATGAATATCCACAATATAAACCAAATAAATTAACACTATCATTATTTTCTCATCCAACGACAGGGACAACATCAGAAAAAATATCAAGAAAACAAAGTTTATCTAAGAAAGATGACGAATCCCAAATATTGTTTTGTTCAACGGAAGGTGATAATAATTCAAAAAATAAAAATGAAGGTGTACTAAAAAAGATGGACGAATTTATTCGGTGTATGGCTATTTGCCATGAAGCTGTTTCAAACATCCATGGAAAAAAAATAACATTTCAATCAGGATCACCTGACGAAATTGCACTTTGTGAAGAGGCATCATTAAATGGTTATATCTTCACTAAAAGAACACAAAAGTCAATATTTTTAATTATAGCTGGAGAAGAACATCAAGTTGATATTCAAGCAGTCTTTCCATTTGATAGTAATAGAAAAAGAATGAGTGTTTTAGTTAGGATGTGGGATGGAACGTTGGTACTATATTTAAAAGGGGCTGATATGACTACATTGCCATTAATGAAAACAGGTGAAAAAATAAAAGAAGCTCAAATGGATGTAAATAAATTTGCTAGAGAAGGATATAGAACATTAGTTCTTGGATATAAAATAATTCCAGACTCTGTTTTTATTGAATGGATGATTAAATATGATAATGCCAAATCACTTGTTGTTGGTAGAGATGAAGCAATAAATGCTGCCATTAGTGAAATTGAAAAAGATTTTACATTACTTGGAGTTTCTGCTGTTGAAGATAAATTACAAGATGGAGTACCTGAAACAATTCAGTCATTAAGAAGAGGAGGAATTAGAATATGGATGATTACTGGAGACAAAGTCGAAACAGCAATAAACATTGGATCTACCTGTGGGTTAACACAACAAGAAAAAATTATTCATATGACAACAGATAATTGTGTTGAGGTATTAAAAAATGGAGTATTAAATGAGGATTATTCAGTTGTCTTTGATTTTGGAGTATATAATGCAGTTGGAAAATTAGACGATTTTTGGAATATAGTACTTGGAGCAAAAGCAGTTATTTGTTGTAGAGTCACACCACTTATCAAAGGGGAAATAATTAAAAATGCAAAAAATAGAACAGGAAAAGTTTGTCTTGGAATTGGAGATGGAGGAAATGATATTTCATTAATTAAAGAAAGTGATGTTGGAGTTGGGATTTTTGGAAAAGAAGGTACGCAAGCTGCTCAAACAAGTGATTATGCTGTTAGGAAATTTAGACATTTACAAAAATTAATTTATTTCCATGGAAGACAAGCACTTAGAAGAAATACTTTGATTGTAAAACTTTCATTTTATAAGAATGTTGCATTTATTTTAATGCAATTCTGGTTTGGAATTCAAAATGCATTTAGTGGACAGTCTTTATATGAGGATTTAATTATTACTTTATTTAATATGATTATGACTTCAATGCCTCCTGTTTTTATTGGAGCTTTTGAAATTGATATTCCTTTCTTTGCTGCAAGAGATTATCCTGAAGTTCATAAAGAAATTTTAAAAGGAAATAACTTTACTTCAATTACTTCATATATTTCTTGGCTTGTATTAGCTGTTTATCAAAGCGTTATGTTATATCTTCTTTCAAGTTCTATAATTATAACAAATGATGTATTTGATGAATATGGAAAAACTGGTGGATATGGTTGTTTTTCAGTTTTAATTAGTATCACTTCAACATTAACAATATTAACAACAATGGCATTATCTATTAAAAGTTGGAACTTCTTTTTAGCTCTTGGATTTTTTGTATCTTTTCTCCTTTCTCTTATTTGTATATTACTTGTTTCCTTTGTACCTCAAATGTCTAAACGTGGTTTATCAACAAATGCATTTTCAATTATATTTTCTCAACCATCAACATACCTTTTCATTTTACTTTATGTAATTTTGGCAATCACTCCATTACTACTCCGTAATTTGTTTGTTTTTATATTACTCTTCACTAATTAGTACAAAATATTTATTTAATTTAGTTGTAATAGAACTATTGCCCCTAAGCAATATCAAATCATTCAAGAAGTTGTTCATAAACATCCGCTAACAGAATATGGAAAGTCGAGAACGATTTATCAAGAAGGGAGTGTTGAGGCTCATGATTACTTTTCTGAATTTTGTAAACCAAAACCACTTGATGATAAAAACAACAAGAACAATGAAATTGAAATGAAACAACAACCAAATAATGTTTCTTTTACTGTTAATTCTTGTGATAAATAACATTTTTTGTGACTATTCTAAATTTATTTTTTAATAAAAATTGAGAAACAAAAATAATATTCAATCAGAACTAATAAATTAAAGAAGAGTTGAACTAAATAAAAAAATGGAAGAACTTTAGAGTTTTCTTTATCGTTAACTCCAAACAAAAAGTATTTAAAGATCATATCAAACTGAAATAATCATTAAATAAATATGGGAGACGAAGAAGTTCAAGCACTTGTTGTAGATAATGGATCTGGAATGTGTAAAGCTGGATTTGCTGGTGATGATGCTCCAAGAGCTGTATTCCCATCCATTGTTGGTAGACCAAGACATGTTTCAGTTATGGCTGGTATGGGTCAAAAAGATGCATATGTTGGAGATGAAGCACAATCAAAGAGAGGTATTCTTACACTTAAATATCCAATTGAACATGGTATTGTCAACAATTGGGATGATATGGAAAAGATCTGGCATCATACTTTCTATAATGAACTTAGAGTTGCTCCAGAAGAACATCCAGTTCTTTTAACTGAAGCACCAATGAATCCAAAAGCTAACAGAGAAAAAATGACTCAAATTATGTTTGAAACATTCAATACCCCAGCTATGTATGTTGGAATTCAAGCTGTTCTTTCATTATATGCATCAGGTAGAACAACTGGTATTGTTATGGATTCAGGTGATGGAGTTTCACACACTGTTCCAATTTATGAAGGATTCTCACTTCCACATGCTATTCTTAGACTTGATCTTGCAGGACGTGATCTTACTGATTATCTTATGAAAATCTTAACTGAAAGAGGATATGCATTCACTACTACTGCAGAAAGAGAAATTGTTAGAGATATTAAAGAAAAACTTTGCTATGTTGCAGAAGATTTCAATGAAGAAATGCAAAAAGCAGCATCAAGCAGTGAACTTGAAAAGAGCTATGAACTTCCAGATGGACAAGTTATCACAGTTGGAAATGAAAGATTCAGATGCCCAGAAGCACTCTTCCAACCATCATTCCTTGGTATGGAATGTAATGGTATTCATGAAACTACCTACAATTCAATTATGAAATG